TATATTTAGAGAAATTATGTTTCAAATACTCAACATGAAGTAATTAGTTAATCATCAATATTGTAAATTTTTTAAAATAATTAAAATAATTACTAATTCGATTAATTTATTATTAATAATGACTGTTAGTACATGAATCAACGTTTGGAGAAAATTGATCCTGTTGTTTTTGATATTATTGAAAAAGAAAAGAAAAGACAACGTGAAAGTATTGTATTAATTCCTTCTGAAGTATGTATACATAATTAATTTATTGGCAGACAAAATATATTTTTATATCATATATAAATATTACATCCTTGTTATTTTTCTATCCAAAATCATCAAAAAAGAATTTTACATCACATTCTGTTATGGAAGCATTAGGATCAGTGATGCAAAATAAATATTCAGAAGGATATCCTGGTGCAAGGTTAAAATAATAATTAATCAAGATTTTTAATTTATAAATTATTAATATTTACATATTATAATTAATGTGGATATATTATTATATCGTTATGTTAGATATTATGGAGGAAATGAATATATTGATCAGGCAGAAACTCTTTGTCAGAAACGTGCTTTAGATGCATTTGATTTGGATGAATCAAAATGGGGTGTAAATGTACAATCATTATCTGGTAATAATCAAAGGAATAAAAATAGTTGTATTTATTATTATTATTTACTATCGTTATTGTCATTTGTAGGTGCACCTGCAAATTTATATGTATATTATGCTATATTAAAGCCACATGAACGATTAATGGGATTAGATTTACCTCATGGTGGACAGTAAATATTATTAGATTAATTAAAAGATCTATATTAATTTTTTGCTTCAAAAAATAACAATAACAATAATAATAATTATAATTATAATTATTATTAATCGTCAGTTTATCTCATGGATATCAGACCGATACAAAAAAAATATCAGCAGTATCAGCATATTTTGAAACTGTGCCATATAGACTAGATGAAAAAACTGGCAGGATCGATTATGATGTTTTGGAATTAGTTGCTTCATTGTATCGGCCAAAAATAATTGTTGCTGGAGCTAGTGCATACCCAAGAAATTTTGATTATGAACGTATGAAGAAAATCGCTGACAAAGTTAATGCTTATCTAATGGCTGACATTGCTCATTTAAGTGGGATGATATCTGCTGGTGCATTACCATCACCATTTGGCTATTGTGATATTGTCACAACCACAACTCATAAATCTCTTAGAGGTCCACGTGGTGCTCTAATATTCTATAGAAAAGGCGTTAGAAAAGTTACAAAGAAAGGAGAAGGTGATGATTAAGATGAGATTGTTATATATTTTTTTTTAAGCATTGGCCAAGAAAAAGGTCTTTATGAATTTCGCCTCTCCCAGAAATTAAGAGGCTCTCTTTAAAAAAAGGAAGGTGGCATATAAATTTTTTTTTTTGCATTGTTTTGACTTTTGATTTTTTTTTTAAAAAAAAGAAATACATTATGATCTTGAGAATCCTATCAATCAATCAGTATTTCCTGGACATCAAGGTGGTCCGCATAATCACACGATAACAGCATTGGCTGTAGCTCTTAAACAAACAAAATCACCCATGTTCAAAGAATATCAACATCAAGTTATAAAAAATAGTTTATCATTTGCAAAATCCTTTTCTGATAAAGGTTATAATATGGTATCAGGTGGTACCGATACACATTTATTATTATTAGATTTAAAATTAAAGGAAATTGATGGTGCAAGAGTAGAACGAGTTCTTGAATTAGTAAATATTGCTGCTAATAAGAACACTGTGCCAGGTGATAAAAGTGCCATGACACCAGGTGGTATTCGTGTTGGAACCCCTGCAATGACAACACGTGGACTCAATGAATTGGATTTTGAAAAGGTTGCCGAATTTGTTCATCGTGGTATTCAAATTGCCATTGATGTTAAAAAACATAAAGTAAAAGGTAATAAATAATCAATTATTATTGTATTACTAGGAATATTTATATTTATGTTGGTTATTTATATTATTTATATAGGTAGAAAAGTTAGTGATTTTAAAGAATTTTTAGGTGAAGATGGATCCTCAGAACCTAGAATAGGTGAGTTAAAACAAGAAGTTATAGAATTTGCAAAAAAATTTCCGACAATTGGATATAATGAGAATGAAATGAAATACACTTGAAAATAATTGATTATTTAAAAATTTTTTTTTATTTTTATTTTTTTGAAATAAATTTATTATCATTTAAAACGTTTTGGTATTGAGAAATCTTGGTATTTATTCTCGAGAGAATATTCTAAAGAATATTTATTGTAAAAAAAGATTGTCACATTTCCGTATTAAAACCAGATGAAGCTTTTTTATACCACTAATTTTTGTTTGATAATTTGATACGGCCACTATGCCTTTATAAGTAAAGTTATTTTTTGTAATTGACAGTTTTCCTTTATAAGTAAAATTTATTTGGAACCACGTTGTAGACCGTTACAATCAAGTAACCACTTTATTGGTTTTTGTATATTGTCACGTTTAACACTATTTAAATAAGCATTAACTAACCACCTTATAAGTAAGTTAAATTTTGTGTATATATAGCCACGTTTGACACCAGTTGACTATACATTAACAGAAGTAACCACCTTATAAGTAAGTTAATTTTTGTATATATATAGCCACGTTTGAACTAGTCGGCTATGCATTAACAGAAATAACCACCTTATAAGTAAGTTAATTTTTGTATACCTTACTGAAGTAATTTTTGTATACTTTACTGAAGTTAATTTTTGTATACTTTGCTAGTGTTAATTTTTGTATAAAAGTGCTGCTTTTACTAAATACGGGAATAAGTGTAAACGCCCAGTTATCTGCTTCGACACTGATTATCCCTTTTCCTTTAACTTTAGTTAATTTTTGTATCAAAAGTGCTGCTTTTGCCAAATACTAACTAACACTAAAGATATATGTTTGTGCACTCTTCGACGCTGGTCATAATTTTTCCTTTACAGGTAAGTAGTTATTTTTTCTAAATTTTTAGAGGTGGCTACCTAGTTGGTCAAGTATAAATAAATAATTTAACTATAAAAGTCCAAGCTATCTATCTTCTATATTTAAAAACGAGTTGAACCTATCCTATCTATCCTATCTATCCTATATAAAAATTTTTTCGCTTCGATTATCAATCAGATGTTTCGTGAAACATCAAGACTCATTTTTTTTATCAACAAATACAAGTTACACCAATTTAATTCCGATAAAAATTTCCCCAAAAAATATATTCCTTTGAGGATGAAAATATAGAACAAAGAATCTTGTTTTATTTGAAAAAACCGAAAAATTTGAATATATTTGTGTAGTCTGATAAATATTTGTTTTATTTTTATGCGAATTATAATCGACCTACAAATCCGGGAGAACCACCACTACGACGAAAGAAAGGTCAAGTAAGTCAATAATGGCAAGTGGTTTCTTTCAGGAACATTTAGTAGACTAAAGTTATCAGAAAATCAAAATTTACAACCCAAAAACTTGTCAAGAGAATCAATAAAATATTAAAAAAAGAAAGAACAACATATTAATTTTGCAATATTCAATCTAATTTTGGCGTATTTTCTTTGTGTAATGCCGAGAAGTGGATTGAATGTTATTATTATAAATATGACACTTTGGTTCCGATAGAACATTTCAGCCAATAGCGTTTCCAAATGGTCGCATATTCAAATCAACCAAAAAGAGAGATTTATGGAAAGAAGGACTTCTTGGTTATTGTAAAATGTGTAAAGGAAATCCTAAACTTATTGGTAATGCTAGAGCAAAGAAAGAGTTTGACGCATACAATAACCTGCAAGATGATTTTTGTTACTCAAAAATCAAGGCAATCGAGAAACATGCAATTTTTCCAAAATATCACTATATATGAACTAACTAAACTGGATAGAAATGTATCGGGTTTTGTACTCATAACAAATGCAACAATATCTGGACTGTCTGCAAAAAACAGTTCCAAAAGCTTTGGATTCAGTTTCTTTGATTACCTAACGTTGATATGCACGAAAGGTCTTACAGGAAAGGCAAATAATAAATACAATCACACAGGCGGTTCCTGATATGATAGATATGATATATGATAGAAATTTTCTAAATTAAGAAGAAATATTTTTTTAAAACTGATGGCTGGATCACAAGACATACGTACGTACATACTTAATTCCTATTATAGAGGTTTTGCATTGTATTAAGTTCGGATTTGGGCAATTTCGGAATCAATCGGGCATTTCAGAAGTTTTAAACTAATGTATAATAATAACTATTATTATTTCGTATAAAGGTTACTATTACCATTATTTTTTTCAAATTAAACAAACTACAGGTATTATTAGGTAACATAAATTATTATGTGTTTTACCAACTGTACCACCATACAATTGTAATATCCATATGTGGGTCGTAATCGACATAAAATGTACTCTATGGTGCCAAATAAAGAAATTGATTTTTGAAATCAAACTTTGTTGCTTTGATTTTTTTTTGACAATAAATAAAAAATGTTACATTATTACTCATCAACCACCTTGAAAATTTGGCTAAATTAGAAGAATTGGAAGTTTAGTGAAAATTCCAGTAGAAGGCGTAGGGTTTGTTTCAATACATTTTTCCTTTTTTATTCTCGATCTTTTCTAATTGGCCCTGATTATGGAAAATTCCGCTCAATACTAAAATGCAACGCAATTATTTTTTTAATCTTTGAACTGACAATATCAATGCAATAATAAACAAGTAATTAAACTCTTAAATAATATTTTAATTCATATTAAATATTCAAAGATTATTTTTCCAATGCAAACCAACCTCCCAACAAGGAAGATCTTAAACTTGATAGTATATTACCCCTGTGGTGGTTCTGTACAATGTATATTAATATCTAAAATATTTGCTTTCGGTAAATATTAAATTTCTGACATATGTCAAATATCAATTAATTCAATTCAATGAACATTTTTTGTAATGAAAATTTTTTATTATTCAATTATCAATTAGTAACTGTTTTTGCGAAACCTCAAAAATACTTAAAAATTAGATGTATTTGTATTTGTATTTGTATTTGTAGTTGTAATTGGCGATATTTCTTGTTGTTCAATACATGATAATAATGTTTGTATTTGAAATTGAAATTTATAAGTTTGTTCGAGTAGATTTGTTAAATGAGTTGCTTGAGTTTCCGATTCCTACACATTAATAATAATAATAATTGATTATATTTCCAGTGAAATGAGCTTCTATTCAAAAAAAAAAAAAAATATATAATACTTGAAGAAGTGAATCACGTATTTCTTGTAATTCTTTAATATTAATTGTCGAGCTTTCGGGCTAAAAAATAAATCAAGTAATAAAAAGAGAAGATAAATAGCCAATCAATCAATCAATAATAAATCAAATCAATCAATCGACCAATCAATCAATCAATCAATCAATCAATCAATTTATTCATTCGTTTATTCATTTTAGTTGCAATAATAATGATGATGATGATGATGATGATGATGATGATGATACTTTTTCAGGATCGTTTTCTTTTCGTTTTCTTTTTCTCAATTCTTCAATTTGTTCAATCAACAATTTCAAATCGTTTTCAGCTTTTTTATATTGTCGATATTTCTCAATAATAACTGACTGCTGTTGCTGTTGTTGTAATTCAGCAACAACATCTTTGTCATTTCCTAAATATTGTTTTAATGAAGTGAATATTTCACCAGCCATTTCAACAAGTGCTTCTAATGATCCTAAACCTTTTAAAGCTAAATCCTCGATTGATTTATCATTATTGTTATTGTTGTTGTTATTCATATTTCTTAAAAAATTATTAAAAAAAAAAGATATCGTCGATCCGGTGTGTAAAATTGAAAGGCGCCAAGGGCGCGTGTAACATTATTATCCAATCGAATATTGTATTTCTAGAGATCTTTTCTAAATTTGTACTGGTTACACGACTAAATATACACTGTGTCGATCTGAATATAATATAAATTTCTAGAATATTTCTAAAATTATAAAGTATTCATTGATATCAAATAAAATATTCATTGATAAAAATAAACAATAATAACTTTATGTAGTTAAGAGAGATTAAAATGTGAATTCAATAAACTTTCTTTAAATAAAATGATAATAATAGTAATGTTGTTGTTGAATTATAATTGTGACTTGCCTTATTTTATTTAGGACACTAGAGTATATAATAATAAATGTATTCCTTAATATGGACAAGACATTTATCTCTTGGAAGTATCATGTGTGTACAATTGGTTAGTTATTTAGTGCCACCAAAGACAGCAATTGTTTATACCAACAAAAAACTCTGAACACAAAAAGTCCAATCTTTTTCTTTATTAATTATTGATTCCAAAAAAAAATCTGAAAAGAAAAAACAAAAAAGAAAATGAATTTTATTAAATCAATCATATGAATTGGAAAATAAGTATAAAAATAATGACGTAATATTTATAAAGCTTGTGTATATATACAAATATATACAAATATATTTATTATATTATATATATATTCAGTTTTTTTTCATTTTTCATTCAAAAAATTCATCATTTAATAATAAATAATAGGAATTTATTTATTTATTGTTTATTTTTTTTTTAAAAAAAATAAATTTTTTCCCTTTTAATCAAATTTAAACTCAAAGGTAAATATTTATTCTATAATTATGCTAGTTAATGGAACTGAACTTAAACATTTAAAATTTCCCCCCCATTTCCCTCTCTCCCATTTTCTTTTTTTTTTCAGTAAAGAAATCATGACATTTGCACAAAACACTTACAACAATAACTACACCAACAACACCCAACAAAATGTCTCGACAGACACGACGACATCTCCGACTTCAAATTCGTACATTGGCTTGATTAATGAAGAGTCAACGACGCGTTCGAAAAAGCAAAGGGTTGACGATGATGGCTACGACAAATACGACACTCAAACTTTACCATCTATAAAACGCACCAAGCTTCAAGAAACCGATCCTTCAACAAATTACATCGTTAATCCTTCTCATTTAACTTTTAGTGAAATAAATTCCACTCCGGGTTACAACATTAATAGTATTATTAATCATAACGACACCAACGATTATGATTACACCAATAATCATTATAATAATAATATTGTTTATCCTTATAATAATTTAAATAATAATGTTGTTAGTAATGTCGATGTTAGTGATGGCAGTAATTTACCAGGTAAAATTTTCAATATTATTATTCCAATTGCTATTTAATATTAATAAATAAATTAAATTTATCTTTCGGTTGACAATTACAATTAGGTTATTATAATTATACAAGTAATTCTACGAACAATATTGACGACACTATTAATAACAATCACAGTAATATCAATCAACAATTTATACCAATGATTCATAATCCATACAACCATCCTATAAATGATAATGATAATGATGATAGCGATGATAACGACATAGATTATAGAGATAATTTCAATCCATATCTATATCAAAATATGACTAATAATAACCATTATACACAAAATCAAAATAATTTAATACCATACAATAGTGTTAGCAGTAATGGCGATATAAACAATATTATTAGCGCAGATAATTTTTCAGACTCTTCTTCTACATTCAATCGTTCTCCATATTCAAACCCGAATAATAATATAAATACAATTTTAACTCCTCTATCATCATCATCGACAACAACGCCACCAGATATTGTCACTACAGTCAACAACAAAAATAATGAAAACAGCGAGAATAACGTTCCTATTATTATTAGTGATGACGAGGATGATTGCATTATTGTTGGAGCTAATAATAATCTTATTAACGATTATAATAATTATAATAATACTTCGGCAATAGTTATGAAACCTAGACCTTGTACTGGTGGTATAGGTTATGTTAGTGTAGAACTAGAAAGAAATACAAAACCAAGTAAATAAGTTTATTATTAAATGGTTTATATAAATCACTATACAAATTTATATTAATATAATTGAATAATATATTTAGCCGCCACGTATTTATATATATTTGTCAAGGCGAATGGAGAAGCAGTAAGTAACAACGATCATTTTAGCTACAATGGATATTTTAATTGCAAAACATTCTTTGTTAATATCAATACTTTTTGTTATAGTTTGGTACAGTTGAACCAGAGTTAGCTAAAACTCTGACATCATTAATGGACGATAATCTTATTTGGACAGAAGCTTATATATCAATTTCTGTGTTTGTTTGTTTGTTTGTTTGTTTGTTTGTTTATTTATCTACATTCAACAATATTATAGATAATTAATATAAATACAAATTCTTCATATATATAGGACACATTAATTCCACTATATATTAATATATATGGCCATCCTGATAATACAAGTTCTGTTAGCAATCATTTATTCAACATTAATGTTACATTAAAGAATCCAATAGTAGAATATAATAAAAATACGCGTTATTCAAATCCTCATTATCCATTATCTGTCAACAGACTTATATCAGAAAATACTCTCCCTTTATTAAAGAATATGAATATTAATAATTTTATAGGTGGTAGAAGCGTTAATGTTAATAGTATTCTGGCTGCTAGTGGTGGGGTATCAACAAAAGTAGCAAGTGATAATGTGAAAAATCAAATTGATTCCGTTTTTAATTCTTTAATGAATTCTGATGATATTTCAGAAGCACAACCTGGTTAGTTAATTAATTAATTTGTCTAGATGTTTACAGAGAGTATCAATGGCCTATTAAGTCTGCGTGATTTTAATATATTGGTAATTAAATAACTTTGATTTGTTTCATTGATAAACAAAAAAAATATAGATGAACGATTGATAACTCCATTATATAAACATCAAAAACAAGCATTATTTTTTCTATTGGAAAGAGAAAAATTCAATGATTTTACTAATGAGGAAACCAATGCCTTAACTTCTTTATGGAGAACCAGAAGAAACGCAGATCGTTATCTTGTGTATT